CTTTCTTTCTTTTCTGCCTGCCTGCCTTCTTCTGTCTGCTCCGCTGTCCCGCTTTGCTTTTTTCTTCCCTCTTTCTGTCTCTCTGCCCTCCCTCCCTCTATGCTCTCCCCATCTTTCTTTCTTTCTTTCTTTCTAATCTAAAGTTGTGGGCAACCTTTTTTAACAAAAAAAGGGGGGAAGGGAGAGTTGGAAGGGGTCGACTTCAGTGAACGTCCCTCAATCAGATCGAGGACGTTTTCAGCAAAGGCTGCCTTAGGAGTACCATAATTAAGTTAATAACAAAGTACCTACCTATATAGTTCAAGTTTAAAAAATTTGGCTCACCAAAGAAATGTCAGTCGTAGTACTGTTGATATTTGGGTCTGTTGACTAATGAGATTGGATTCATACCCTGTTCTTCACTACCAAGAGGAATCTCAGATTGCCTGACAAGTTTCTCATGGACCTGAAACCCTCAGAAGCTGACACTGTGCTGGTTACACTGACATCTAAGTTACCACTCAACTAAGCCTGGGGTTACAGGTTGTTGTGTTGTGCAGTTAAAAAGAAGTTAAAAGAACCTGTATCAGTTCTGATACAGGTATAGATAGGAAAACCTCCAGGAAAGATCATAGGAAGGGAGGAATGCTGCCGAATAGCTTCCTACAAATAGTAGAAGAGTTCAATTTAATGGATGTATGGAGGGTAAGAAATATAAGTAAATCGGACTTTACATTCTATTCATCTCATCATGACTCTTGGTCTAGAATAGATATGATATGAATGTCAACGTCTATGATCAGAGAAGTGATGGAATGTGAAATATTACCTAGGACATTTGCGGACCATAATCCGGTATCGGTATCAATAAAAGAGGAACAAAGAAAGAACAGAGTTTCTATAAATATGAATCTGCTGAGGGAACCGGACTTTGTAAAAAAATGTAAAAAAGAAATTATAGAATTTTTCCAATTAAATCTATCCACTGAAACTTTGCTAGAAATAATTTGGGACGCCTTTAAGGCGTATATAAGAGGGAGATTTATTAGTTATAATGCGTGGAAAACTAAACAGAAGAAAGAGAAATATGACCAGCTAGTCCAAGGTATTAAACAGCAAGAAAATAAAGTTAAGAACTCCAAAGGAGATGGAAGTGCAAGGATTAAACTAAATCTTTTACATCATAACTTAAACAACCTGTTAAACTATGAAATAGAGAAAAAAATAGAATATACTAAACAATATTACTTTGAAAATTTAAATAAGCCAAATAGATGGCTAGCTTATAAAATCAAGAAAGAAAGAGAGAAACGCACTATAATTAAATTAAGAAATGATAATAATGAAGAAAAGTTTGACATACAAGAGTTAAAGAGGATAGTGGAAAAATTTTATAAGGAACTTTACCAACAAAATTCACTAAATGCAAGACTATTAACATTAGAACGGCATGATCTTAGTATGGGGTGGCACGCCTATGTATGGTATGGGAAAGATAAGATCCACTCAAATTTTGGTAGACATCTATTAAGGGGCTCGTTAAATAAAATATGGGCAAAAACCAAAGGAATATGGTATAGGAAAACTCCAAGATGGGTAGCCCCATTGGAAGCCTTTATTATACCCACAGCAATAACAATGAACTTAAAGGAAAGCTACCAAACACTACTGAACAAAAAAAATGAGCTAAAAACAGAAGAAAAACTGAGAAAGGAAAATAACCTATCATGGTGGGAGCAGATAACGTTAAGAGATAGATTTAAGAAAGATGCGATAAGAGGATTTGAGGACCAAAATAACGAACTAGACAAAATATGGTTGTCCTCAA